TGCATTTCCCTTGGGTGTAAAAATACTGAATTCCATCACCCTGTTTTATTGGACACATGACATCAACATTACATGCTGCTCTCCCCACTGAAATGGAAGCAATGATGAGGTTATGTTTAAATCTTAGACCTGTGCTCCACTTGTAAAATTCCTTCAGACTACAGCTCTCCTTTTCTGTAGCACACACAACTGCATTTCCTCAAACAAAATACAGCTTTAAGCTTTGACTTGGTTTTAGAGTTGTGAAGGGGAAAATCTTCAACAGTAAGCTCTTTCTGAAACCCAGTTTTTGGCCCGCAGTTAGACTGTACAATGAAGTCTTTGGTTTAAAAAGTGAGACAAATCTGTGGCTGTGAGCTAAATTAGGCGAACATCCACCAACAAGCATTAGAAAGTGAACTTGCATGCAAACAGAGATGCCTCTGTGTTAGAGCTACAGTGAAGACATCAGCAGATGTGTAGTCATCCATGACAAGATTATACACATACAGTATATACAACTCCAAATCAGAAAATGCTGCGACAGTATGTAAAACCAAAATTAAAACTGAAAATAGAGATGTGTCCTGTATTACACTGAAAACAATACAGCAGCACTTTATTTAATGTGATACCTCATCAATTTTATTCTTTGTTCAAAATAAACACTCACTGTATATATATATATATACACACAGGTATATATGTGTGTGTGTGTGTGTGTATGTACTCAGGCTTCCCTAAATTGCCCCTAGGTGTGTGTGGTTGTCCGTCTCTAAGCCCTGTGATAGATTGACGACCTGTATATATATATAAATGAAATTAGCACGATTATGGCAAATTTTATTTGAATCATCATCTATGTTCCTGAAGGACACATATTCTCTTGAAGAGGAAGGACCCTTCTGCTGGTTCACATCGTATCAAGCTGTTGATTGACTGAGCCAAATTGCAACCTAGTGAAGTAGAAAAACTTTGTTCGCCTACACATCAGCTATCTTGTAAAGATAAAATAACACAAACGTGCCACTTTGCCATGATATTCTCTACAGACACGAATGGTTCCCAGAGGATGTATCCCTCTGACTTCCCGTAGCACCATCAGTGGGCTGACATTTTTGGTTTTGATTTAAAGGTCTCGACGATTAACAGATGGATTGCACAGACATCCTTGTGGTGAGCTGAATCTTTAGTGATCTGTTAGCTTTTCACCTAGAGCTATTACTACACAAAAATTTCAGTTCTTCGGTGTATGGCCAAATACCTATAGTCATGACAAGATATAGTGGCACCCTGACACATAACAAAAAAAGTCACAATAATCTCTCAGATAAGTTGAAACTGACCAAAGTATCGGGCCTCCACAGGTCACCCTCAGTGAGATTCTCACACTTCTTCTGCCAGTTGCTCCAGTTCTCTCACAATTTGAAGGGTGCCTACTGTTTTCAGAGCTCTCTGTGTGTGTTCAGTGGGATTTAGAGCTGGACTTGTTGTTGGCCACTTTATAACAGTCAATTGTTTTCTCTTCCTGCCTGCTTCTTGGTAAGCCATGATTTTATGATGCCATGCACAGATTCAAGGAGCTGAGTGCCAGAGGCAGCAAAGCAACCCCAGAGCATCTTTTCTTTGAAAGTGTCTTAAAGTAGGGGAAAAAGGTCATAGAGATGTAGATAAAGTGAAGTTAAAGCACACAGGCGGCTGATACTTCACACTGTTGGTCAGCATCTTTCTGTCTGACACCCACACTTTATATCTCCTGTGTGGCTACTCAAGTTTATTACTAACAATATACTTTGAAACTAATATGCTCCGTGAACAAACACTGGCCCAGTTAGTTTATAAGCACCGAAGCTGGTATCTCTGGTTCGCAGTAACAGAGTTCCATCGTAATTATTACTTGACAGACGCTTGTAAATCTATAGGGGATCTGACACAAAGCTGAGAAACACTTGTTGCCAGTCAGTCAGTCTCTAGAATGCTGATGTCCGCTGTAAAGAGTGACCTGCTGTTAAGGAGCCTACAAGAGTCCTGTCTTAGATCGATGTGCGTGACTTTAGGCTGTGTGTGGGATGTGTGGCTCAGCAGGATCCTAAGCAGCTGCCACCAGGAGTCTAGCCCTCAGCAGGGAGCCAGGACTGAAGAAACACCGAGAAAACGTTCTGGCTCACGGACCACCCCAGGTGAACAGTTAGAGAAAAATACTTTGTTGTTGCTCATAAATGTGATGCGTCTCAAGATGCAAGTTGCCATCCTGACATTCATGGAGTTTGATGATTAACTCAAAAACACCAGGCCACCTTCAAACCGTGCAGGGCCTTGAATACAGGCAACAAAGAGGAGCTGCAGCAGTTTGGCCTGTGTTGACTTTAAACTTGGGAGACTAGCACAAATCTGCTTTAAATCTGGAGGGTTTTTATCCTTGGGCCTTGGACCCACCAGTGATGCATCCATATAGAATGATGACAATCTTCTGGAACATACACAATGAGCCCAATTTATTGTAAACTGGAAGACGGATTCATGTAATGCAATGGAAACCATCTCACTATAGGGGACTGCAAACCTTCCCTAAATATTTGTATTCCTCAGGAGTGAATGATTTAGACAGCTGCAGAGAATCTTTAAGATGGCTGGAAATAACATTATGAGCCTTTAATTGATGTGATTATTCCATTAGAAATTAGAGAGACATCTGTACAATGATTGGGGATAATAGTAATGGCACTTGATTGCTTTTCTTTAGTCTCGACTCACAAATCAGTCCTGTGGTACTGTCATCTGTGTATTACACAGTCTTCTCTTGTAATGGGAAATAGGAAAAAAAAAAAATTGATGTTTAATTATGCACACATGATTGACAACTGTATTTAAACTCAGTCAAGTCTCAACATCCATGACTGTATACTGGAAGACAAGATTTTCTTGACTAATTTTCATGGATAAAATGAGAAGAGATTAATTTTAAATAACCAAAGCACTTACTAATGAGAACAAAGGGCTTAGATGAATAGTTATGTATTTAATCGTGGAATTATGCAAGTCAGTAAGTCAAAAATTGATAAAAATTAAACAAGGTTTCACGTAGTAAGCTACATCTTATCATAAGCGCCAACCTTACCACATCTGTGATCCACAAATATACAAATTCATTTTTCCCCACTTTTTCCATTTATTTATTACAATTCATTCAATTATCCATCACTTTTCCATGTGTCAGCTACTCCTCTTTCTTCCATTTAAAACAAGTCCAGTATCTGGCTATTCTTTAGAACCTGAAAAGTCCTGAAGGTGGGGCAGGGGGCTGGAGGGAGGATGGGCGGGAGGTTTAAAAGTAAAGGACAGGTTTGTAAGAGGAAGTGATATCCTCCCAGGAGCCTCTTCCAGGTGAGGAGACTTTTTAAAAGCTATGTGAGATTTTTTTTTCTGCATTCATCATTTTCTCCTCTTGCATTTTCAGACCTGGTCTAGTTTTTTTCTCTCTATTCAACGTCCTCAGCATCATCTCCTTGGTCTCCGTCCATTAGCAAAGCAGCGTACTTACTGGCTGAGCTGAACTTCTGAAAAAGGCAAAACATAATGACAAGAGTCAGCACAGTTGCTTGGGATGCTAAAAAACAAAAAATGTACACAAGAGAAAGACATCAACTAGGGACAATGAGTGGAGCTTTATTAAAATTAAATGCTCCAGGGAAACTCTTCAGTAAAGAATCAAATTTACAAATGCCAAGTCAGATCTTGGCAGCACCCAGTTAAGGACTTACGGGAGTTGGGGTTTCTTCGTATTTCTTTGGCTCTGGAGGTGGTCTGGCATCTCGGTCTTTTCTGTTATCCTTCCTACAGTCAGAACGAGGTTAAATTTACTGGCAGAGCTCAGCACTGGAAGGTTAACGTTTACTGTGAATCCTAAATCCCACACTGTTAAAAAGAAATGGAGGAAAACTGCTCGCATTCATCTTGAGAATTAACATCTGTCACCTGGCTCCTAGTTCACACTAACTTCCCAAAAAAAAAAAAAAACCACCTCCAGCAAAATAAAATTTATAAATGTCTCAAATATTTACTTGAAATTTATCATGTGCTGTTGATATATCTTGTGCCACTGATATATCTTGTGCCACATCAAGACTTGGATGACTGACCTGTCTGCTTCCTTTTTTCGGTCTTTGTTGAGCCCCTCTCCTCGGCCCCGCCCTGCTCCAGGCCCTGCAGCTCCCCCTCGTGCCCGTGGGGGCCCCTTGTCCCGACGCACACCATCGGCCTTGTTCTCATCTTAAAAGGAGAAGCCAGACAGTTGAGTGAAAGGAGGTTGGTGTACTTGTACGGTAGCCTACACGCACTGCAGCATCAGACGCCACAGTGTTAGATTCAAAGTGTTAGTCCCTGATGAAGGCCCAAATCCAAATGAGAGCTGCACAACTGCCTGAAC